AATTTAAGTTTCTTGTAGTAACAATAAGATTGTAAGTGAAAAACCACTCACATGTTGGTCAGTCTGATATGTTACGGTCTTTTTGCCTTTTTCATTTTCTTGTTCTTTTCTCTTTTGCTACTATTACATTCAGCTTATAGTATATACTTTTAAAATGAATCAAATTTTTATCTACATTGATAGTTATAAGTAGTTTCATTGTGTGCATGTTTCATTACTTACACTGATGTACAGCCATTTAATCCATGGCTGAACATTTAAATAATTTGTAAGTTTTAGTGCTTCTATTATAATGTCAGTGACATTTTGCATATCTTAGATATGATACTAATGAGTAGAAGAATGTGACTTTGGGGGGGAGCACTAAGATAAGATGATGACATGGTGTGTATGAATTTACCAGCTTTTGGCTGCTGCAGATTTTTAGTGATAGAATTAACACATCAGCTGCTTAGGTGTTATTTACCGTATTCTCCAGTAATAACATAGATTCTGACTGCATTAGTCATGACTCTGTTCACTGGTTAGATCACTTGGGATTGAATTAAAAGTCATTTCAAACAGTTATTCTTTAAGGGAAAAATTAAAATTACTCTTATTTTTTAAACAATATCACTAAATATCAGTTTTTTTGCTTGCTTCATTTTGGTGGTACAATTTAAGTGAACTTTACAGATCAGTTTCTGAAGTTAAAGATGTAATTATTTGTGTTTATTTACTTTAATAATTAGTTTCTTCATGTGTTCAGAATTGGAAGTCATTCCCTCTCTCTCTGTGTGTATGTGTTGCTGCAAATGGAATACAAGTGCTCTGGTTCATAGTGCAACCCAACCCCAGCAGATGTTTTTTGTTATTAAATTTAATTTATAATCTAAATAGGAATAACAGCCCATAAGTGGACACTAAATATAGAAAAAGCAGAAGCTGGTTGCTGCTGATGTCCCTTCCAAGGACAATAGGCATGGAGACTTAATACACACTTCATGTCTCTGCTGTCTTCCCCAGTTGTTGGGATAGCATCTCTTTTATGGTACTTACAGAGAAAGCCTGTATGTGATCAAGACCTCAAACTTTTTCTTTGATATTGGCTGAGAGCTCCACCTTGTGTGTATTTGTGTGTGTGTTTAAGTGTGTTAGTGTGTAAGTGTGTAATTAATAACCTGCAGCACTCCAGAAATGATTAGCCTTTTAATTGTTTATGCTTTTATTTAAGCATTGTTCTTAAATTATAACAATTAGGCATGTTTAGAGACATTTTTGGTGGAGAGGCAATGTAGTAGAGACTGAGCAAAACGTCTTGCACTTCTAGACAAGTGCTCTGCTATATCTCCAGCCCTCTTTTTTTACCTTTTATTTTAAGACACCGTCTCACTAAGTTGTCACATCTGGGCTTGAATTTGGGATCCTCCCGCCTGTGTATCTGAGTACAGACCTATGCTAGCAGACTTGGATGAAGACATTATTTAATAAGTTTTGTAATCTAAGTCTTTGGGAAAAGCAAATTGTATTTACATGCAGGTGTAGACATTTAAAATGAAAAGAAATGTTCTCAACATCTGCGGTCTGAGACTGATTTCTGAAAACATTCCCAGTGGCAACTTTGTTTCCCACGGTGTTCTCTTCTAAATCCCAAAGCAACTTTGTCATTTTTTTAAAGTTACGATAAAGTGTTTGGTTTGCTAATAAGTTAACTATAAGATTAAAAATATCAAAAACTCCCTGGGAATGGTAACATCTTTAGTCTTAGCACTTGGGAAGAAGGAGCACGTAGATCTCTGTAAGTTCAAGGCCAGTTCATTCTACATAGTAATTCCATGACAGCCAGGTGTATATAGTGAGACTGTGTGTGTGTGTGTGTGTGTGTGTGTGTGTGTGTATTTATGTATGTGTTATGTATCTCCAAATATGGAGTTTGGCATTTTTAGCTTTAAGAGGTATATGCTTTCTTATAGAAATCAATGTTTTTTCATTTTTCTTGTATGGGCAGTTCCCTAAGACAGATCATTGTTCTGCTGAGTATTATCATTGAAGAATACCTCTGGTCCCACAGTGTTTGGTGTGAAGTGCTCAGAGACACAGTAACACAGCATAGTTGGCTACCATATAGTTTTGAAATCTTACCACCATAATGTCCCGAGGTGTTGGTTGAGGATTTGTCTGTGCTTTTTCAGCTTCCTTAAAATATCAAATAAATCAAATATCTAAGATAGTAGAAGACAAAGATATATTCTGTAGGCGATAACAAACCTCGGAAATACAGAATATTAGACATTTATATAGGGCACAGTAATCAAAGCTGCTTTTACACTTAAAGGTCTTGGTGGGGAACAGAAGTTTAGGATATAAGGAAAACCATACTAATAGTAGGTATAGTTTAAGCTTTCACAGTATGAGGACCTTTCAGATAAATTCAGTGTTTTCTCACTGAATTTTGTTATATTGCTGTTCACAGAATGTATTTTTTTTTCCTGAGACAGAATTTCAGTTAGGCAAGTTAGTCCTGAACTCTATCTATGTAGGCAAAGATGACCTTGAACTTCTGATCTTGCCTCAACCCCCAAGTTCTGTGGTCAGAGGCATACACCACCATTCTTGCTGCATAAATACTTCTTGTAAAGAATTGTTTTTTTATTTTAGCATGATAATAGTTTATAAACTAGGAAGTAGTGGTTTGAACATATATTTATCAATTGTTGTTTCTTATGGAGTCGATGAATTGGTGGTGAAATTGTTTGCTCCTCTTTTTGTTTCTTATTTTCTGTTCTTTGCTAACCCTTTTCTTTTTGTCTGGACCTAGCACTTACCTCGTAGCCCAGACTGTGCTGGAACTAGAATATCTCTTGCCTTTGCCTTCTGATTGCTGAGATTAGAGGTGTGTAGCATCACACCTCGCTGTTTTCCTTTGTGTCTCTTTTATTGGAAAAGGTCGTAAGATTTTCACTAGTATGATATATTTGAGCATTTCTAAGATGTTTATTTAGGTCTACCTACTTTAAAAAAATTTTTTTACATGTATTTAGCTGTCTGTGTCTAGGAACATATGGGTGTAGGTGTGGGCACATACATCTTAGAGCTTCTGTGGAGGTCATTGTACAGTTTGAGGCAGTCGGTTTTATCTTTGCGCCATGTGTGTTCCAGGGATGGAATTCAGACTATCAGGTTTGGTGGGAGGAGCTTTTACCTACTGAATCATCTCAAAGACCCTCATCTCCTCTAGCTGACCACCAAGTACTTGGGTTCTCTTTAAAGACAAAAACCAAAACATAAGACTGAAAGGTGGCTAGATGTTGGTGACTCTCAAATTGATGTGGTCCTTACAAGGCGGTGGCCCCTGCCAGGCATTGGCAGCACACATCTTTAATCCCAGCACTGGGGAGGCAGAGTCAGGCAGAGCTCTGTGAGTTCAAGGCCAGCCTAGTTCCAGGACAGCTAGGGCTTATTACATTGTCTTGAAAAACAAACAAAACAACGAAAAGACTGAAAGCTTTAAAAGTACAAGTGTGGTGGTGTATATCTATAATCCTAGTACTTGGGAAATGAGTCAGGAGGATCAAGTGTTCATGGTCATGCTCAGCTACATATGGAGTTCAAAGGTAGTATAGGACTTGTAAGGTACTGTCCTTAAAAAGCTGTAAATAAAGGATAGTTAGAGCTCGGCAGGTAAAAGCATTTCTGCTCAAACCTGACAACCAGGGTTTGCTCTCTGGAACCTACATAAATATGAAAGGCATCAATTATCACCACAACAAAGTCATCTGACCTCCACATGTGACATGTACTCATATATGTACACAATAATAATTTTACATTTTTGAAGACAGAACTTAGCTTTAGCCTGTTTGCCCCCTCTTTTGTTATGTACCAGTCATTTGATAGCAGATCATTCTTTAATTTAGGAGATGCACCTGTGCCCTTCTAAGCTAGAAAATAATTTTCCTTTCTCATGCTCAGACTTACCTGTAATTTATAACAAGAGTCATCATCCTTTTTGTTTGAGATATGTTCTTGCTATGTAGACTAGGCTGGCCTCAAACTCATGGCTGCTGGGGTTATAGGTGAATACCACCATAGGCAATTACAAAATAACATTCTCTCTCTCTTTTTTCTCTTTTGTGTTTTTGAGACACATTTCTCTGTGTAGCCCTGACTGTCCTGGAACTCACTCTGTAGACCAGGCTGGTCTCAAACTCAGAGATTCACTTGCCTCTGCTGCCATTAAAGTCCTGTGCCACCACCGCCTGGCAAGTAGCATTCTTGTGTTTCTGTGACTTTTTATTTGTTGCGTTGGGGATCACACTGAAGCATGCTGACCAATGTTATTTAGACTCTTTGTGTAGGTAACTTAAGGGAAATAGATCACATCTAACATTTCCACTCTTTTCAACATGTAATTATTGTGGCAGCTATTATATTAGTGAACTAAGCTTTGTGCTATATGTTTTTATCGAGGGTCGAAAAACTTTTTTTTTAAAGTGTTCTAAAATTATATCTTAAAATGTTTTTAAAGGCTCCTTTTAGCTGTGTCTGAATACCATCAATAAAAAGCTAAAAAATTAGGCATATTATATTATGATTTAAACTTTTCTTAGGGACCTCAGGACTTTATTAAGACTGCTACATTTTATTTCTTTTTAGCATGTATTTATTTGTCTATGCTTGATGTTTATATGTGTTATGTTGTATGTGTATATACATAAATACACATACAAGTTTGTACATGGGTAGACAGAGAGAGGAGAGAGGGAGAGCAGTGCACATTTACAAGCACAAGGCTAGAGAGTTGTGAGATATTTTAAACAAAACTGTATGGTACAAGCCTCTCTGATGGCTGTGTTATTGTAGTAGATCTGTAAGAGTTCTTAACATGCAGTCAAATGGGAGAGAACAAAATACTTATTTACTAAAACACATTAAGAGACCCTTGGGAATTTAGCTCTTGAGTCTGAATATTTCTTGATGTTTGTGGTGTATTCATAATGAATACTTTCTCTTCTTTAAAGGAACCGTCTTTCTCAGAGGAAGCGCAGTTTCATTTTACTCACATAAATATATGAATATATTTCTGACATTGGGGTGTTCCAGAAGATGATAAAGAAATGATAGCAGCTCCAGAAATACCAACTGATTTTAATCTACTACAGTAAGTATTATGTATTTAAATATTTGATTTCCCCCCACAAATTGAAATGGTAATCTTGATTAAATTGCTTTTCCTTGATCTTAGTATATAAGTTAGCATGTGTGTTTTGAGAGTTGTTTTTTTTAAAATTTGTACTCATTGAAATTTTTTAGTACTTATTATTTTGGATCTATTTTAAAATTTACATATGTGCAACATATAATTTTACACATATCTTATTTTCAGGTATGTGTTTGTGCATGTATCTGTGTGTAGGTATGTGTGTGTATATGCACTTGCCTGTCAGAGCTAGAAGAGAGAGTGAGCATCAGACTCCCTGGAGCTGGAGTTACTGGGAGTGAACACTGCAAGAGCACTACATGCTTTTAACTACTGAGCAATCTCTCCAGCTTCTACTATAATTTTTTGACGTGCAATTCTGAGTCCATTGTTGGTATTGCAGTATGCCTTAGTTACTGTTCTGTGGCTGTGGAGAGACATCATGACGATTATGAAAGAGACACCATGACTCTTCTGAAAGAAAGAATTGAATTGGGGGCTTGCTTAACAGTTTTAGAGGGTTAGTCCATGATCATCATGCAGCTGCAGACTGGCATGGGGCTATAGCAGTCGCTGAGAACTTTACATTCTGATCTGCAGGCAGCAGGCAGAGAGAGGAGAGACTGCTCCCGGTGTGGGGTTTTGAAACCTCAAAGCCCACTCCTCAGTGACACACCTCCTTCAATTAGGCTATATTTTCTAAACCTTCAAAAACAGTGTTACCATATGAGCCTATGGGGACCATTCTCATTCAAACCATTGCACAGTACTAGTTGTTTTGAGGGAAAATATCCAAGATTATTAAAATGTTAAATCTTTTTGTTAGTAAGGAATAATACCATACATTATTATTTAGATTGTTGTGTCAAGTTTTCTTTTTTAATCAAATGAGGGTAAGACATCTCAATCATTTGTTTCAGAAACACGTTATTCGTATTGGTCTAAAATATGACCACTCAACTACCTACCTCTCTATTCCCCCATTCCTACATTAAAGTTACCTACACTCTTGAGGCTGAAGAAATGGCTAATGGGTAAGAGGACTTGTTGCCTGCAGAGCCTGCCATGTTCAGTTCCCAGCACTCATATGGTCGCTTACAACTATCTGTAACTCCGGTTCCAGGAATACCTTCTTTGGGCACCAGCATACATATATGCACATAAAGCACTATTACCTATAAAATAAACATCTAAAAATGACTACCTGTACCCTTTCGTCTGCTTTTTCTGTAATTATCTCTTGCTTTATTTACTTTTTTGGCAGGGAATAGTAGCTCTTGCAGTATTTCCTTTTTTAAGTATAGACCACCATGCCTGGATAGCAAGTTCAAGGCTAACCTGTGGTCTATAATGAGATCCAGGACTCTCTGGGCTAAATAGTGAGAACCTGGCTTCTGTCTCCATAGCAGTCATATTATGTGCAGACATGTAGATATGAATGTATGGGTGGTTTTTTGATGAAAGGTCTCACTGTGTAGCACTGGCTGGCCTATAACTCAACAGAGAGAGAGAGATTTGTCCACCTCTGCCTTGCAAGTGTTGGGATTAAAGGCGCACACTATCATGACTGGGTATAGTAACTGTTTTTATATAAAGCAACAGTTCCATGAGGTGTCTGAATTAAAAGTAAGCCTTTAAATTGCCTATAGATCTGCTTAGCTTTATTTTACACACAATTCCCTGTTGGATCCTAGTAGGTTTTTTGTTTGTTTGTTTGAGGTTGGGTTTCTGTGTAATGTCCCTAGCTGTCCTGGAACTCATTCTGTAAACCAGGCTGCCCTCGAATGTAAAGAGATTTGCCTGCCTCTGCCTCCAGGGTCCTGTAATTACAGGCATATGCCACCACCGCCTGGCTCTGTAGATACTATTTCACCTGGTAGCCAGTTTATACCTTTGTTAGTATGTAGCTTTTCATGTTTTTTAATAATTTGTTTGGAGATTATGAGTCTGTTGGGTTTGCTAATGGCATGACATTTCCTTGAGGCTCTGGGATTAAACACAGGACCTTATGCATACTAGTATTTACTATTGAGTTACATCTGGTTTTGTTTTGAGACAGTCTCATGTAGCCTAGGCTGGCCTCAAATTTACTATGTAGCCTAGGATGACCTTGAACTACTGAAACTCCTGCCTTCTCAAGTGCTTGGGTTGCAGGTATATACTACCATGCTCATTTTTATGCATTTCTAGGCCTTTAACCTAGGGCATGCTACACAAGTATCCTGCTGAGTCATATCTTCAGCCCAAACTGTGATATTTTAATCACTGTGTATTTGCTATACTTTAAGGTTTCTATGGGAAAATAGCATTTTAGTGAGACATATTCCATGTCTTGAATTCATTTTTGTTAAAGCAGTTATTGAGCCAGGATTAGTGGTGCATACCTGTGATCCCAGCACTCATAAAGTTTGAGATTGAGAGTTTGAGACCAGACTGGGCTACATAATGAGGGCCTGCTCACAAAAAATAAAATAATCCCCCAAATGGCAAATTCTTGTTAAAGATGTATTGGGCAATGTAAGGAATTAAGACATGCTTTCATGAACTCTTATTTTCAATTTAGAAAGCAAAAAATATGCAGTTTCCTATGTACATCAAGATTCAAGATCATTAAAAACTTGATATTATAGGGTATTAATGTAGAATACTTTAAAAATGTGGGTCCCGCATAGAATAATGGATTAGAAGAATTAATGGGAGTAGAATAAACATGTCGTTTGCTTGGGGATGTGATATACTAGTGACAGTGAAGAACAGAAGGTTCAGTTCTCTGGTATTAGTAGACCTGTCCTGTTCGCAGCCATTGAAGGGGTTGTCTTAGTATTTTGTTGTCAACATATTCGTTAATATGTCATTCCACCTATGGTAGTTTAGTGTTTCTTTGAAAACAATGGAGGTAAGACAGACTTAGGGAGAGTTTATTTTTTTTGCTTGGGGTTTACTTTAAATTTCCATTTTTGATGACTCAATTAGACTTTCTTCAGAATTTTTTTTATTTCTAGTGAAGTATTCTTGTGTTTTTAGATAGTTGGGAAGAATAAAAATATTTCTGAGCCTTTGATTCTTCTGTGACCATTGGAGTATTGGAAAGACTTCTGTTCACAGATTTTTAGCAGTTACTGAGCTAAGAGTTGGTGTTTCTCAAGTATCTGGGAAGAAAAGAATAAAATTTATGTATGACGATCTTTTAAAAGTTTTTAATTTCTTTGCTATATTATATGTATTTGTAGAAGAGTATCAGTGACAACCATGGCCTAAATTTCATGGTTGAGATTATAGTAGTCTTTGGTGATCAACTCTCAGAACTGGTATTTGTTACACGTGGTGATATATTATGATTTATTCAAGCTTGCCTGAGGATTCCAAAAGCAAAGTCAGACACAAGCTATAGAAGTGATACACACCTTTAATCCCAGCAGCCACACTAGCTAGCCAGACAGTGGTGACAGATGGATCTCTCTGAATTCAAGGCCACCCCTGCATACACAAGAGTGAAGAGAAATAGCTCACACAAAGTTGATCTCAGCACTAGGGATCACATGCCTTTAATTCCAGCACTAGGGATGTGTAAAAAAGCAAAGGGTCTCATGTGGAGATTCATTCTCTAGCCACACTGAGATGAGGCAGCAGTCTGAGGCTTGGTGGAGAGCTTCTGGAGACAGGATCAGCCCTTTCAGCCCGAGGTAGAGATAAGAAGCCAGTGGTCAGCGGCTTTGCTTATCTGACCCTCAGCTTCAACCTCAGTATCAGTCTCTGGGTCATTTATTATTCATGTTACAATTATAGGCCATTTCCTCTCAACGTGATAGGACATAGTTAGGATTCCCACTGTCTTCATTCAGTTCATTGTTTAAATTATTTGTAGGTAAGTAAGTGCTATAAATAGTAATTTTTTTCTTGGTAGTATGTTAACCATTACTTTAGATTTATGAAGCATTTCTACCTCAACAGTGTCCAGACAGCTGGTAATATTACAGTAATAAAAATGCAAAATAGAAGAACTCTAAATTGAAGGCATTACCTTTATAAAGATAGTCTTTCCCTTTGGTCCATTTATTTTAAGCAGAACTCATTTTACATTTATACATTTGCAATGGTTATACCATTATCTTTCATGGTGGCTTTATTATAAAACCCAGTGTTTTATAATTGCTAGTGTATCTCTTGCTTTAACTGTTTTTATTGGGTAGGGTTAGTTTATACATGATTACATGCACGCAACATAAAGAACCACACATGTTAATTCAATTTTAATTTAAATAAATTCCTTTTGTGTGTATGAGAAAATCCAGGTTATACAAAGTTTCTCCACTAAAAACAAGGGCCAGTTTTTTAAGGACTGTAGTTTTATCTGTTGGAGGTTGAAAAGACTTTGGAAGATTTCATTCTTCCTGTGTATATTGAATATTGAGTTATAGATGAGAAGACTGAGACATTTCTCTAAGATCACTGCTGTTTAGTGTTGGAATTGATTCTCTGTATTCACTGCCTATTTGCTTCTTTGCTTCATTAAGGATTTTGAGCATTTAGCATAGTTCTCCATTATATTTTGTGTTTTACACACACACACACACACACGGGGAGAGAGAGAGAGAGAGAGAGAGAGAGAGAGAGAGAGAGAGAGAGAGAGAGATGTTGGCACTATATATACTTAGATGTGTGAACTTCTTTTGAGTAAGTAGAAGGTAGAAGTCAGGATCTACTGATATTGCTAAGATTCTCTAATGATTTAATATTGAATAGCAAAATATTTTTTTGTTTTTTAATTTTTGGTTTTGTTTTTTTTTTTTTTTTGGTTTTTCAAGACAGGGTTTCTCTGTGTAGCTTGGGAGCCTATCCTGGGACTTGCACTTGCTCTGGAGGCCAGGGTGGCCTCCAACTCACAGAGATCTGCCTGCCTCTGCCTCCCGAGTGCTGGAATTAAAGGCGTGTGCCACCAACGCCCAGCTGGTTTTGGTTTTTAAGACAGGATTTCTCTGTGTAATCCTGGCTGTCCTGGCACTCACTCTGGAGACCAGGCTGGCCTTGAACACCTGCCTCTGCCTCCCAAGTGCTAGGATTAAAGGAGTGCGCCACCACCACTGCACTGGCCCTACATCCTCTTATTTCCTTCTCATGCCTGTCATCCCGTCCACTTTGCCAAAGGAGTCTTCCATATCCATAACTTTGTTTTCTTTGTAATGATTTAACCATGCCTTTCTGTTTTAAATAATGTTTAAAAACTGGAAACATAATCTACTTTTCTAAGAAATGTTTAAAATATTTGCTTATCTTTTTGTCATAGGGAGTCAGAAACACATTTTTCTTCTGACACGGACTTTGAGGACATTGAAGGAAAAAATCAGAAGCAAGGCAAAGGCAAAGTATGTATCATTTATGTGACTTTCCTTTTTCTTTAGGGGTGTGTCTGCGTGCGCGAGTGTGCATGTGCGTTGTGTGCATGCTTAACTGAGAGAGAATTTCATACTTCAGATGTGTCTTGTTTTGGGGTCTCAATTGTGTTGCAAACCTGAGTATACACGGTTCTTTATGTTTTCAGACCAAATAGCTTTTATGTATGTGTATAGTATAGTGTAGTTGAAATTAATGATGCATTTTTGTTTATAGTAGGTCATCTTATAAAGTACAATATGCTAAGCAAAATGTGGTGTCTCAACTGGTCTGATTTCCAGTAAATCTATTATAATGTTGTGTTGCCTCAAATATAAACCAAAAATATATAAACTTTCTTCTGTTATACCCTACTGATGTAGCATATAACCTGTATACATAACATGTAACATATAACCCAAGTTGTGTCTAGTCTAGTAATGAAAATCATTTTATCCTTTGTAAATAATGTCAAGAATGAAAACTAACATAGCTAAGTTTTTAGTAAGTAGAATGTAAATTTAGACTATGATTAAGTAGCCAGAGAGATAGTTGTGGATAAATTGGTAAGTTGTTAAAATTTTTGCTGGTTTTATTTTTTTGTTGTTTGTTTTGGTTTTTATTACTGAGTTGTACTATGTAGCTTAGGCTTGCCTTGAACTGGCTATGTAGCCCAGACTGAAATGAATTTGTGATCTTTCTGACTTACCTTCTTCCCAAGTGATGAGATTATTTGTATGTACTACCATGTTTGAGCTCAAAGTGAATTTCGATTGTGATTTTATTTTGGCACTGGCACTTTAAAAATTTATTAGAGAGGCTGGAAAGATGGTTCAGCAATTAAGAACACTTGCTTACAGCTCTTGCAAAAGATTGAGGTTTGGTTCCTAGTACCTACATTATTGTTGACTTTTTTATGTGCTGAGAATATTGATAAATGTTTTCTGCTTTCATCATCAATGCATCCCTGTGAGGTAGGCAGAGTTTTATCTTCTGCCTCACAAATTGGATAATGTTTTGCCTTTCCTTCTTTCTGTTTCTTATTCCCCTCCCCCCGACATCCAGTCTCCCTCTTACCTTTCTTTTCTCTTCCCCAGCCAGGCCTTATATAGTCAAAGTTTATAATGTAGCTGGTCTTGAATTGCTGACCCTCCTGCTTCAGCCTCTTGAATGCTGGGATTCTAAACATGCACAACTCTGCTCAGATGGGAAAATTCTGGAGTAATGTATGGATTTTGTAGCTTGTCCAGAATCACTCAGCTAAGAGTAGTAGAAATTTGGACTCAAAGTTTGTCATCAAATGATCTGATCCACTGTAATATAATATGAGCTTCTGGGCTGGAAACTTGGCTCAGCAGTTAAAGAGCACTTGCTGTCTTTACAAAAGACCCTGGTTCAATCTTCAGCCCCCCCCCCCCATGATGGCTCATAACTAACTAACTCTAGTCTCAGGAGGATCTGAAAGCCTCTTCTGACCTTCGTAGGCACCAGGCCCAAACATGGTACACATACAAACATGTAGAGAAACCACCCAAAGTCATAAAATAAATAAGTAAATTAATTAAAAAATAGCTCAGCGTTGGTTGTGCACACCTTTAATCCCAGCACTTGGGAGGCAGAAGCAGGCGGATCTCCTTGAGTTCAAGGCCAGCGTGGTCTCCAGAGTGAGTGCCAGGATAGGCTCCAAAGCTACACAGAGAAACTCTGTTTCGAAAAACCAAAAAAAAAATATAATAATAATGTGATTATCATAGAAAACAAAGCGACTATAGCTGTTATGTAACTTATGTTTCAATGGCATTCTTCTCTATATCAAGTTAAAACTTAATCAGCTGCTTTCTTGTTATTTTGTTTTGAACTCTCAAGTACAGTGAGAGTGATAACATGTAATCAACTTCTGTTTTTTTGTGCAGACTTGTAAAAAAGGCAAGAAGGGTGCAGTAGAAAAGGGCAAAAGTGGAAATGGAGGAGGAAAACCTCCTTCTGGTCCAAACCGAATGAACGGTCACCATCAACAGAATGGAGTGGAAAACATGATGTTGTTTGAAGTTGTCAAAATGGGCAAGAGTGCTATGCAGGTAATGTTTGCGATATTCTGTGACATACTTTTGTCTATTCGAAACTCCATTAACATAGAAAGTAATGCCCTGACTTTTCTTTTCTTTAAAATAGGTATTTCTTGTGTGTACCCTTCACCAGGCCTACTGAGCATGTTTGCCTGTGTCATGTGTGTGTGGATGTGGATGCATGCATGTGCTCCGTGGTGAACTCATTCTTTTCTTTTCATCTTTATGGGGGTTTGGGAGAGCAAACCTAACATGGCCAGACTTCCTTGGCAAGTGCCTGTACCCACTGAGGCATCTTGCCAGCTTTCGCTTTTCATTTGACTTGTTATTGTGTCTAAGTATGGCATGATTGTATGGTATCGGTATGTGTATACCATGATCTGCATGTGGGAGTCAGAGGAGAGCTTTCAGCAAGCGGTTCGTTCTTTCTCTACTCAGGCTGTTAGGCTTTGACAAGCACTTTGACTCACTGAACTATTTCAGTGGCCTTGGCCTTCCCGTTCCCCTTCCCCTTTTCCTTCCTTCCTTTTGATTTTTCAAGACAGGGTTTCTCTGTATTGTTTTGGAGGCTGGCCTCGAACTCACAGAGATCCACTTGCCTCTGCCTCCCAAGTGATGGGATTAAAGGCACGGGCCACCAATGCCCATGCTTAATTGTGTTTTAATAAATACAAAACTGTGGATATATTAATAATATCTTTTATTGGGGGGTTTGCTGGGACTCAAACCCAGAGCCATTTATATTCTAGTTAGTATTCTAACTGCTGTACTTACGTATCTAGGCGTGTGCGTCTTGGTGTGTGTGTATGTGTGTGTGGTGTGCGTGTTTGGTGCTTGTACCAAGGGAAGTCCTCTGCCACTCAACTACAGCCTCAGCGCAAAGCTGTGTCTTGAGTCATTTTCTAAGTTTTAATGACATAAGGCAAAAAATTAATTGGTAATAAAATATGGTTTGGGGTTTGGTTATGAAGGTTTGTGTTTCCTTGGATTTATATAGTTGCCATTAACAATTGAAGTCTTGGTAGCTGGAGAGATGCTTAGTGTTTAAGGGCACTTTTACTACTCCTGCTGTGTGTCTTATTCAGTGTTCAACTCTTATTAAGGAAAGCATTTAATTGGGGCTGGCTTAAAGTTTCAGGGTGTTAGTCCATTGTCTTTATGGCAGAGCACATGGAGGAACACAAGCAGGCATGTTAGCTGAGAATTCTATGTCTGGATCTGAAGGCATCAGGAAGAGAGAGACACTGGGCCTGGCTTGAACATTTGAACCTCCCCAAACCTACCCCCCCCCCCAGTGATACACTTCCTCCTCTACCAGCCACACCTCCTAATAGTGCCATTCCCTGGTGACCAAGTATTTAAATCCATGAGCCTACAGTGGCCATTCTTAACCACCACACAGAGGATCTGGGTTCAATTCCCAGCACGTGCATGTTGATTTACAAATACCTATAGCTCCAGTGTCAGGGGATCTGAAGACCTTTTGGACCTCTGCTGTCACTTTATGTCACTTTATCATTCATGTACATACACTCAGGCACACATACACACAATATTAAAAAATGAAATCAGTTGAATATGGTCGGTGTTTTAGTTACATCTCTATTGCTGTGCCAAAGAACCATCGCCAAGGCTACTTAACAAAATAATTTAATTCAGGGTGTATGGTTCCAGAAGGTAGTAGAGTCCATCACCACCATGGTCCAGAGAATGGCAGCAGGCAGGCAGGTAGGCATAGCACTGGAGCTTATGTCTGATCCACTGGCACAAGGTATGTGGGAAGGGATGGGGAACAAGTGAGCTAACTTGAAATGGCATGGAGTTTGAACCCTCACATCTCACCTCCAGTGGACCTCTTTTGACAAGGCTATACCTCCCATTACTTCCTAAATAGTTCCACCAAGGACCAAGCACTCAAATGTAGGAGGAACCTATCAGACCAACTTTCATTGGAACCACCATAGATGGATTTCTTAGTTGGGTGACCTAATATTACTAGTCACTTACTTAACTGATTCTTAATAAAAACGCAAGGAGTACATACTATCTTTTTGTTGTTGTTTTGAGATGGGGTCTGTTAGGATGGTCTTGAAATTTTAGGTTCAAGCCTCCATTTTAGCTAAGAATATAGACATGTGCTATCATTTCCTACCTGGACTATATGTATTTCATAAAAGTATTAATAGTTTATATTGTATAATTTAAATAAATCAAATTGTAATATTTAATGATTTAATATTAAATATGATATTTAATATTGTAAGGAATGAATATAATTAACTTAATTTGAGCACACTTTTTTGCTGTTAAACATATTTACACACATGCGCCCCCCCCCCATTTTTCTGTTTGGTCAGTGATGGAAATCAGTCCCTGGACTTTGTGCATGATAAAACAAATGCCTTTCTGCTGACTAAGCTGCAACTCCAGTCTTTATGTGTCTGGTGGCGTTTACTTTTTTAATCAATTTTAGTGGTTTAGTTCATTGTATTGCTGCAAGATAATATGGACTACATAACATATAAACAACACAAAATGATTTCTCAGAGTTAGGAATTTTAGAAAGTCTGGGGTTAAGGTGCTGGAAGATTTTAATGTCTGCAGTGCCTTCTTTGTGGCTCATAGATAGAGAGAGCCTCCTTGCCTTGTTTCCTCTTGGTGCAAGACAGCTCTTGGGCCCTGTTTTATAAGAACATTAATCCAATCTGTGAGGGTTGTATGCACTAATTGTCTTCTAAAGCCCTGCCAAACTTTCCAAAACTATCACACTGGTACTGAGGTCTCAAGAGCACATGGGGTGTTGCACTGACAGGAGGTATACAAATTACTAGACATTTCAACTGACAGTAGAAACTTCTGTTTGGCCCCTAGCAATGAGATGAAAAAGATAAGTAAAAAGTAAAAATAAAAACCTGAACAAAGTCTGTTTCTGTGTGCCCCAGGGGACATTTCTAGTTATCTCCCCAGGGACTGCCCTAAAGCTCCTGTCCACCTCTGTGTTGTTATGTGTATTTCCTCTTGCCTTACTTTCCTAAGGCCAAATTTGATCAAGGAAATCTGCATTTTAGAAACTGGGTTTGTCCTTATCTAAAGTTTCAGCCCAGATTTCCTTATGGCATCCTTTCTATTTTTCAGCCACAGTATGTGCTCTGTGCTCAGGCCTTTATGTTTCTCTAGATGCTTGGAATAGTTTCTTTTTTCTCAAATCAAATAGGACTGACTGAATAAAAAATCACCCCTTTAAAATTTATTTTTAATTATGTGTATACATGTGTTTCTGTGTTGGGTATGTGCACTTGAAAAAAGTGCCCCGGGGGATCAGAAACATTGGATCCTCTGGAACTGGAGTAACAGGTAGTTTTGATCTACCTGATGGAGGTGTTTGGAATTCAACTCAGAGGTCCTCTGTAAGAGCAAGTATTCTTCACCTCTGCCCATCTCTTCAGCCTCTAAATGTCACTATTTTAAAATGCATTCTTAGATACCGCCTCTACTTTTCCAATGTAACATTTATTCTTACCTTACGCTTGACATTGTATTAGTACATGTACAGTAGCACATTATTTTTTTCTTTTTCTTTTATTTAGAAACAATCATTTTACATATCAATTCCCCCTTCCCTGTCTCTCCCATCCTCCCATGCCTCCTCCCAATCCCTTCCAACCCACCTCCACCTGGATCCCCAAGGATGGTGAGGTCTTCCATGGGGGATCATCACAGTCTGTCATATCATTTGGGGGAGGGCCTAGGCCCTCCTCGGTGTATCTGGGCTGAAATAGTACCCCCCCAAAAGAAATGGGCTCCCAACGTTCATTTGTGCACTAGGGATAAACACTGATTCCGTAGACTGCCCAGGCCTCCTAACTGGCACCCACATTCAGAGGGCTTGGTTCAGTCAAACTCTGGTTCCCCAGCTTTACCACTGGGGTCCCTTGCTTTCACCAGGTCAGGTCAACAGGTTCTGTAGGTTGCTCCAGCATGGTCTTGACTCCTTAAATTGCTCCAGCATGGTCTTGACTCCTTAAATTGTCAAAGACTTGGATTCCTCTTGTAAGTTGTACTTTAATTTTAAGAACTACTTGTTATTGCTCTGGGTGGTCTCTTTAAAATTTTATTGGACATTTTTGTATCTATATTATTTAATGTACCCTTACTCTTGCTAAGATAGTGCTATCCAATCATAGAAATGCTTCTAGAATTCACGTGGAACTGTTTTTGGAAAGACTTTATCTTTGCTGTATTGACTTTTATTGGTACTCATTGAATGTCTCGTATTCATACAGTTGCCCTAATCATTTGGAAGTTTCTTTTCTTTTCTTTTCTCTTCTTTTCTTTTCTTTCTTTCGTGTTTTGAGACAGGGTTTCTCTGTGCAGCTTTGGAGTCTATCCTGGAACTCGCTCTTGAGACCAGGCTGGCCTTGAACTCACAGAGATCCACCTGCCTCTGTGTCCCAAGTGCTGGGATTAAAGGCATGAGCCACCAACGCCTGGCTGATTTTTTTTCTTTTTTTAGTCATTTTGGGAAACTATGTCAATACTTTTCTCAGTTGTGCTGGTTAACATATATGAACTGTTATATTGAATATGACTCAGATGTAGGCCCATTCCTGTAATAAATATCTGAGATGATCAACATAAAGGGAGGAGAAGTTTATTTGAACTCAGTTTCAAAATTGTCAGTATGGTTATTTGTCACCTCCTCTGTTTCTTTGGGGTGACAAATCATGTGTCATGTCATGGTGGGGAGAACATGGGATTAACTTGTTTACCTCTCAGCAGTCAGAAAACACAGGAAGAAACTGGTATTTCCTTTGAGGACATGCCTGAAACTGCCTCAGGCTCCTATTAGGACCCCAATTGTTAAAGTTTCTAACACCCACCTTTCACTAGGTCCAAGTTGAGGACTAAGACTTTAACATTTAACACATGGAAGTTTGCAGGGGGAGGGAGCATTCCTGATCAAAAGTATAGAAGTAAGAGGAGTTTAGTTTTAAAGCCTTTTCAGTCCCCCAGAAAGAAAGCTCATGTCCAAGGATTACTCATCTACTTCGTGTGTCTTCACCTGTTTTGGTCAGTTCATATAAATGGAATCATATAACCTATGGTTATTTAAGGTTTTATCCATTTTGTGGCATGTGTTATGAGTTCTTTTTGGTTGACTTGATATAGTGTATGAACATTCACTATTTTGTTATATATTTCTACATTCTTATACATTTGTTTTGTTACTACTTCTGTTTTGAATAGTGCTGTACAAGTGCTTGGTTAGACATATGTTTTAATTTTTCTTGAGTAATATATACCTGACATGCAAATTGCAGTGTCATATGGTAACTCTATATTTAACTTTTTGAGCAGTTGCCAAATATTTTTCCAAAAAATCTACCATTTTTCATTATTGCTAGCAGTGTTTCATGCTTTGCCAAATGTACATTACTGTACTTTTGAAAGTTATAAACATTTTAGTAAGCATGAAGTGGTATCTTTTTTTTTGTCAACTACTTATGACAATTTTTTTTTGCCTATCCTGGCACAGGCTATTCTTGAACTCACAGAGATCCGCCTGCCTCTGCCTCCCGAGTGCTGGGACTAAAGGCGTGTGCCACCAACATCTGGCTGTGAAGTGGTATCTTTTCCTGTTTTTTTTTCTTTTGTATTAAAACGTGTGTTTATTGGCCATTTGCCTTTACAGAACTATGGATGCTCCCCCAGCCCCCGCCCCTTGTGTCTGGGTTTGCCTATATGTATGTGCCCCACATGTGTACCTGGTGCCCTCTAAGGTAAGAAGAGGTTATGGGATCCCCTGGGGTTTCAGGTAGTTGCGAGTCACCATGTGAGTGCTGGCAACTAAACCCAGGTCCTCTGGAAGATTCAGTGCGTTTAATCTTTGAATCAGCTCTCCAGCTTCCACTTTGTCTTTTAAAAATGACTTAGTCGTGAACATTGTTTATATATTTTGTGTACAGATACCTTTTCTGATATATGATTAAAAAACATTTTCTGCCTTTCTGGGGACTGACTACCTTTCAATTTCTTGATGAAATCTTTGAAATATAAGAAGTTTTCCCTTATTAATATTTTCTGGTGTTTATACTTTTGGACTACATCTTTATGTTTTCTTCTGGGCATTTTATAGTTTTTGCTTTGTTTTTTTTTTTTTTTTTTGTTTTGTTTTTGTTTTTCGAGACAGGGTTTCTCTGTGGCTTTGGAGGCTGTCCTGGAACTAGCTCTTGTAGACCAGGCTGGTCTCGAACTCACAGAGATCTGCGTGCCTCTGCATCCCGAGTGCTGGGATTAAAGTCGTGCGCCACCAATGCCAGGCTAGTTTTTGCTCTTTTAAATAAAAGTAGTGTATGCATGACATAGAGCAGTTTCCAACTTTCATTCTTTTCTTTTACATGAGGGTAATCCAGTTGTTCCCAGGCCATCTGTTGACGGTCCCCCCAATTTGAATTGTCTTGGGATCCTTGTGAAAGTTTTATGACCATGAGTTTTCAGGGTTTATTTCTGGGGAATAATTACATGACTATATTTTTCCACAATTGTCTTTGTGGTATGTTTGAAATCATGAAAGATGAGACAGCCAGGTTTTTTCCTTTTATGCATGTGAGTATACATATTTGCATATTTGTATGTGTGCGGGTACATGGCCACATATATGACATAAGTGTGTGTGGATCTAGTGAACAGTCTCAGCTCTGACAACTTCAGGAGGCAGGGTCCCTCATTGGCTTGGAGATCATCAGTTAGGCTAGACTTGCCTTCTGTTTCTCTGGCTGCCCATCACAGTACAAGTATATGCCACAAGGCTTAGCAGTTTTTATTTACATTTGTTCTGGGATTGAAGTCAGGTCCTCACCCTTGTGAGGCAGACATTTTTCCTACTGAGCTATTTCCCCAGGTCAGATATTTTCCTTTTTTTTTTTAAATTGACCTTTTAATGTCTTTTTTTGAAAAAAAATTATTTATTATGTATACAACATTCTGTTTCCATGTATATCTGCACACCAGAAGAGGGCACCAGATCTCATAAAGGATGGTTGTGAGCCATCATGTAGTTGCTGGGAATTGAACTCAGGTCCTCTGGAAGAGCAGTCAATGCTCTTAACCTCTGAGCCATCACTCCAGCCCGATATTTTCTCCTTTTTAAGTATTGATTTGGATATTTAGTTTCCTTTGCAGTTATGAATCTCAGGATTAGCTTTGATATTTGCAAATCCATCAGCTGGAATTTTAATAGGAATTGCAGTGAGATAAGTTTAGAGTATTGGCTATCGGATACTATCACCTTCCCAGATCTGTGAATTGTCTTACTTTTTTATTTGTATTTAGCATTTAGTTTGCCTTTTTAAAATTGTATTATTAGGGCCCACCATTTAAAAAGCTTATTTTTTTAAAGATTTATTTATTTATCATGTATACAACACTCTGCCTCCATATATGTCTGCACACCAGAAGAGGGCACCATATCTCATTAAAGATGGTTGTGAGCCACCATGTGGGTGCTGGCAATTTTAATCAGGACCCCTGGAAGAATAACCAATGCTCTTAACCTCTGAGCCATCTCTCCAGCCCCTTGTTGTGTGTTTTTTTTTAATCTCCTCGTTAATTCAGGCTTTTGCCTCTTCCAAAACCATAAACTTTTGTTTCTATTCAAATTTAATATTTAAACTTGATTAACATGTGACATATGTATTAATGGAATTCATTCTGGTGTTTGTGTGGCAGGGGTCATTTAAAAATAGCTTTTCTTTATCCACCTCCCTGACACGGAGTCTTTTCAAACACTATTAATCACTTCTGTGTATTTAAATCGACTCAGATTAATTTTCTTTATAATGTCTTACTAAACAAGAAAAAAGCGTGGCATTTGCTTTTGTTTTTGCTCCCCAAACCCTTTAATACTCAAAACAGCTGAGGTACAAGCAATAAACACCATTTTTTTAATGTCAGAAGAAAAAAATTTGTTACGTGGTGAGCATCATATACCAAATTCCCCCCCATTTCTTTGGCAGTAACACTTCATTAACTTCACCAACACTCTGGTCCATAGGTTGATTCAAGGTCATAAAGGCAGGTGGATAATGGTATAAATACCTACCTTGCTGAAGATAAAAGAATCACACCACTTGGGCTTTTCTTAAGTATACATACTACACTATTAAGGACATTTTTACTACCTTTCCAAGCAACTCTATTTCAAATTTTTCAGTTAAGTAAAGACAGTGGCACCCTACAATACAATACACCTTTGCCCAGGGCAGCATGCCAACATGCACATTCCTTTAGGATGATATATTCTCTAGATATTATTCATGGCATAAAGAAACAATTACACATTATGAAATTGAATAGCATAACTTAGGTTTTTGTTGCTTAATTTTTTCAAGTTTTAAAAGTGTGTATGTTTGCATTTGTACATGTGCACTCACAAGCACATATCTTTGTCATGGTAAAGACAAAATATTGGTGTGATACTTGTGAAAAGGAATTTCTTTTTTATATAGAAAATATAAGTGTCATTATATTTCCTAGGATATTAATACATCTAAGACATAATTATAGATTCTGTAGAATAGAATTGGATGTAACTTATTTTTTGGTTTCTGAAATTTTTAATTTTTTAAAAGTGTGTGTGTGTGTGTGTGTGTGTGTGTGTGTGTGTGTATGAGCTTGTGGCACACAAGCATGTATCTATATCATGGATTGGTTTTGGTGGTCATCATACAACTTGGAGGGCGCTGGCCTAGGACTGGTTCTCTTCTTAATATTATTTGGGTCATGGGTATTGAACTCAGGATCCCACACAGCACCCAGGGCTGTTACCTTCTGAGCGATGTCATTGATCCAGTTTTTTTAAATTATGAATTAATACAAGGTATGTGATTATTTTGTACTCTCAATTAGTTACTTTATTGAATTTGGTTCTATTAAAATGAAACTTTCTATTCCAAAAGGTTAACTAAAGTGTGTGTGTGTGTGTGTGTGTGTGTGTGTGTGTGTGTGTGTGTGTGTGTGTGTTTGTACTACATAATGTTGTACTACATAATGTTGAATTTTATGGCTTTCATTAGAATTAATTGCTTAGACCATCAGTAAAAACTAATGATTCTTTATTTTTCCTCATTCTCTCTAGTCGGTGGTAGATGACTGGATAGAATCATACAAGCATGACCGAGATATAGCACTTCTTGACCTTATCAACTTTTTCATTCAGTGTTCGGGCTGTAAAGGTAAAATATATTTATTTTAGAATCATAAGTTCTCAGATAGCCACTTTTTAAAGAAATGTCATCCCTTCTCATGGAAAATAATGTCAAGGTAGTGAATTATTTGCATTATATCAGTGCAAAATGTATAAGGAGAAAAGTAAAGAACAAAGCAAGAGAGAAAGTATTGACAAAGGTATATTCACTGTGAAATTTATTTAAAAACTTAGCAATTTATAATGTTTATGGTATTTTATTAGATTTCCTACTTTTGGCATCTGGTTTAGGAATGAATAAATGGAATAAAAGTGAGAAGGTAAATAATGAAGAGATAGAGTTTTAGATGTTATGGTATGGAATAAGAGAGTGTAGGGATTAAAACTCATAAATAATAGTAAGTCTCTACTGAAATTACCATTTATTGTAGGTTTAAACTTTTATTCTGTTTATACTTAATTTAAAAATATTTTGAAATAGGAATGGGGAAAGAACAAAATACAGTTATTTCTTACCTCCGACAAAACTATTTAGAACAGACTTAGCACAACAGAAGTATATAAGTTGGTACATTATAATTATATGGTTGGTCTCATCTGGATCAGTAAGTAATGAGTCAGTCAAGATCATGGGCAGTTTCTGCTATCTTCTTTGTCTTTGATAATCATTGAAATTATAGCAGATACCTAGGTACGAGTATTTTATTCACTTTTAGGGTTATTAGATTTTTAATAAGAATATCACTACCTCATTCCAGCAGTTTGAGGACTAGAAATCTGGAGGGAAATATTGATTTTAAATATAATTAAATGTTAAGACATCTCTAGAAATGGGCCACTTGTATGTTGAAAAGAAGTAAGTTACTTTTAATTGCACAACATATCTTTTAAAATATAGTAATTTTATCTGAGTTGTAGGTGGTCACACACGCCTTTAGTCCCATTGTACTATTAAGATTGTCATCAAATTCTGGTCAAATGCGCTTTTTATCCCTTTTGTTGGACTGCAGGTTTACACCAGAGCAATCTTGAGAAATTTCAAATCCTGTCTTAACAGAGTAGAGAGAGTTGCCTAGTTTCCTTGACTTAGCTAAAATAAAACTAGCTGCCATTTAGTATTTTATGTCCTTTAATCTACTTTGAAAACTTTGTGGTTAAGTAATGTTTTGAAAGTATTCTTCCTTTATGAGACTCATCCTTTGTCTGGTGTTGCTCTGTTTTCAAATAAAGACTTGAATGTTTGGACACTTAATTGGAAACCAGATTGTTAAGATTTTTAAAACTCTAATGTGTATTGAACACTTAAGTTATGTGGATTTGGACACTGATGTAATATTTGTTTCATAGCCAAACATTATTTTGGTAGACTTCATTTGTAAGTTTATTTAATTATGTAGTTTAACCATTATTATAGACTGAGCGTTATGATGATAGCTCATTTTTCATGTTACTGTAATATGGTTTCTGGAATTGTTCATTCAGGTAGGGGTCATTGGCCCTACAGAGAGGAATCTGGGCTGTTTTGTTGTTGATTTTGTGGCCAATTCTTTCTTTCTTCTCTCTGAGTCACCTGCTCCTTTTTGTTTGCCAGTGTTCAGCAGTTTCCCTTCATGCCTTGCACATCTTCAGACTATGGGCTATGGCCTTATGTTCTGAGGGTGGCTTCACAACTGCCTAAGATTTCAGGGTCTGGAGTTCGAGGCATCTATATTTTTTTGACCTTGGATGCTTTTCTGCTTATTTTTGGGTTTCCATGTATCATGTCGTTTGTGAGGAGGGAAGGAAGCTTGTGAAATGGGGATTGGCATTACTATTCATCAGGGTATTTACTGTGTTCTTCCTTTAATCATGTATTACCTTCCCCTTTCCCTTTCAAATTTTAAGACATCATCTTTATACCTTTGGTTTAACTTTGTTATTATAACTTTGAGAATGGTATATACAATGGACTTTGGTAACCCCCCCCCAATTCTTCCCAGGTTCATCCCCTCCTCCTTACCTACCCTACATACTGTTCTCTTTTTTTCCTGTTGAAATTCACCAAAACTAAGTTGTAGTGTCAAAATATTCTTGGATGTGTGGCCTTCTCTTGGAGCATGGTCAGTTTACTAGGGACTACCATTTTAGAGAAAATCACTTTCTCTCTCTGAGGTTTTGTATACTGTCTAAGTTGCTGTGAGTGCATATGTGCAGCTACTCTGTTGTGTTCAGAAAACCCTGTTTTCTTGTAGTTATCCACTGTGTCTCATGTTCTTTCTGCCCTTCCACAATGATACCCAGATCTTGGAGGCAGGAGATCAGTATATATGTTTAGTTCAGGGCTGAGCATCCTGTAGTCTCTTATTGTTTGTACCTTGACCGGTAGTTCTATGTTGATCACCATCCGCTAATAAATCTGTGGGTATAATGGGAAGTCATTAGAAGTTACTTTAATACTATGTCCGTTTAGCAGAATGACAGTAGTGGGTTCTCCCCTAAAGTCTATGGCCTGCCTAGCCATCAGTTCTTTGTCCGATAATGGTGCCAGGTATTGGTTTCATAGTTTGGATGGTAAGATTGATTATTTTCCTTTGATAACACATATAGCACCTTGTAGCACTATGAACCTAGCCGGTAGGGGTGAAATCTTTCAAGTCAGTACACAATGGTATAAAGGATTAGAAGGGAAGAATGGGATTAAAAAAGATTAAGTTAGTTAGGTGGGGAAGGGGAGGACAGGGTAACAGAGGGAATACAGGGAGGAATAAATGACACTACAGGCTTTAAAAAAAATAATAATGGAAACCTACTTTGTGGAATCTTGTTAATTTTCCACACACTCACACTCACACTCTGGGTTACAGTGTGAGGGAGGGTAGAGACAGGCTTCCATTCTGTTAAAGAGTTAAAAAGGAGATACTTTACAATGGACCAGCAATGCCCCTACTCAACAACATAGGCTAAGAAATAAAAAGTTCATTGTTAGGAATGGGTTAGTTGTTTTGGTGTTGTTGACCAGCAGCAAGCCCATGTCCCATGCCATGGTGCCAATGTTTCCGGTTATCCTC